TAGCTTGTCTATCACAACTAAATTCAATTTGTTCTGGTTGGGTGATTTCAATCTTTCTCTTCGTGTTCTTTACTATCGACCTCATTATATTAGAAACTGTTGGCATACCATTAATATTTAATGATGATGATGCTGTAACGGTATCAAAAAGAGGTGTTTCTTTCTGTTTAGCTCCAGTTAAACTATTCAATGTTAACTTTGTCACATCTCTGTCAATGGTAATCATTGATGTGTCTGTTTCAATGACATCTTCAATTAAAGTATTTTGTGATAAGAACGTTAGTTTTGAGTGTGGATTATACTTTACTGCACTAAGAGTTTGTTCAATGGTTGTATTTCCTTTAGTGATTAGTGTTGGTTTGTGAGACAATCCATCAATTGACCCAATATATATGCTTCGAGTTCCTTCAAGAGTAATATCAAAATCACCTGTTATTTGAATTTTCTCAATACTTTGGACATTCAAAAACATTACATTTTGAGACAATAAAAGAATAGCATTTTCAATGTTAGTTGAATCAGGGATTGTGACTTTATTAAGACTAGTTTGGATATAACAAGTTGATCCTTGGCATGGACATTGTTGATAAGCAAATTTATAATTAGATTCTGAAATAGTGCAATGAACATTATTATTTTTAGCATCCTTCTTACATACCCTTAACAAACGATCTAATGCATAAACGTTATGGTCACTTGACTCTACTAATGATAGTTCATCAGAAAATGGAGAGATTGAAGAAGCTAATTCAAAGCAATCAGCAGTGATAGAACTAAAATCTATTTTAATAGCACTTGAAATGACTAAATTACCTGAGTTAACTTGAATTATTGCCTTTTTATCTAAATTTGAATAGGTTATATCACCAACTGTAGTGATTGAATCAAATGAGAATTGAGAGTTTTCATTAACAGAAATAGATGACATTAAATTGATTTTCAAAGACGAACATCTTAAATCAGTGTTGATATTGATATTTGAAATTTTACTAAAATCACACACATCTTCCACATTAATTCCTGCTCCAGTAATTGTTACTGATTTAAGTTCTGTATCTGAGGTAATTTTTTGCCAATATCTTTTTACATTTCCTCCATTATAATCTTGAGATAGAACTAATGTAAATTTATCATATCTTCTAGTGGTTGAATCATCACAGTCAAATTGGGTGAAAGTGATTGGTGATGTCTGTGTACACTTACACTCTATAGAGCTTGTTGTTTTGGTATATCTTCTTGTTGAATCACCACAAGGTACTTGTCTAATACCAATATTCTTGAGTCTTGTTATTTCATCATCAGTATCAATCATTAACTTTCCTCTGAATAGAACAGCATCATTTGAAACAGAATCCTGTATTTCTATTTGATTTAAATAGAAAGTACCAATACTAAAATAAACATCACTTTTAGTAATATTAAGAGTATTATTAAAATATACTTTACCATAAAAACGCATAGGATATTCTGGTGGTTCTACAACACCAACAAATGAAAGACTATTCCGTTTTGGAATAGACAAAGTAGTATCATCAATATTAGTAAAAGAATACCACGTTTGTTCTACAGGTAATTGTTCTTGGTCTGAACTAATATTAAAAATTCTATGTTCACTAATATAATAACAATCATAATATCCATTTTGATATTCAAAATTTTTAAAAGAACATGTACAATCATTTTCAGGAGTTATTTGTGAAGGACAAAGAGTAACTCGAGAATACCCATCAATATCACAAATGCTAAATGATTTATATGACCCAGAAACCTTTCCAGAAATTGGTGTTTTTATAATGGATTTTGTTCCTTTTGTGGAATAATGATATGTACATGTTGGAGTATCATAATTTGTTTTAATTGTAACAGAAACATCTCCTTCGATAAGAAGAAATGGTGGAATACTTTCTTTATAATCTAAAATAATATTTTCATGATAAGTATCATTGACTGTTAAATAAACAATAACTTTGTGTAACATAAGTGTTGTAGTTGATGAGTCTGATGCAACTCTTCCTCCTTGATACAAAGTGGAATATTCAGGAATTCCATCAAGGTCAAAGACATAGTTAGTATCTAAATACGTTGATTCTCTCCAAAAATCTAAGTTCAACGTCTTTCTTCCATTTGCTGTTGAAGACTCATGTTTAAAATAAAAATACTTATTTGGTGTTTCAGCTGTGTCATTAAAAAATAAATAATTTTTTGTTGTATCAGATCTATCAGCACCACAACAATCATTCACAAATAAGAAACAATCAGTTTTATTTGTCTCTACATAAGTTACATGTTTCCAACCTCTCCACTCTAACTGACTTGGATAATTACATGGTTCTCCGAATTGAAAGAAAGCTTTATTAGGAGAAAATTCACACCAATC